CTGAAGAGCTGAGGGACAGCGCCCAGGCCCAGAGTTCAGGCCTCACAACCGTACCCAAAAAAGAATTGGATGTAGCTATGCTGGTTTATTTCTGGGTCTTCTTTTCCATTGGACTTTGGGTCTGATTTTATACTCACTCCATTCTGGTTTTATTACTATGGCTCTATAGTTGTTAGACTTATACCTAAGGATTGCTTTTTAGTTAAGTTGTATTTTTATTTAATAACTATCAATAGGGAAATGACAATAGGCTAATGTAAATGGTACAAATCTTTTTAAATTTCATTTTGTAATTGCATATTGCTGCTATGTAAGAAAAGAATTGACTTAGGCTAGAAATGTGGCTCAAGCATGTCTGCCTAACAAGTTTGTGCCCTGAATTCATACCCCCATACACTCTTCCCGCAACCCACACAAAAAGAACTCAAGACAAGAATTGACTTTTAAGGGGCTGGGAAGGTGGCTCAGTGGTAGAGCACTTGCCTTGCATGCTCGAGGCCCTGGGTTCGATTCCTCAGCACCACATAATAAAAAAGGCGCAAGTGGCGTAGAGTGCTAGCCTTGAGCTGAAGAGCTGAGGGACAGCGCCCAGGCCCAGAGTTCAGGCCCCACGACCGGACCCAAAAAAAAAAGAATTGACTTTTATATGTTAACCTTGTATTCTGCAACCTTGCTACAGTTGCTGATTAGTGTCAGGATTTTTGGGTTGATCCTTTGGGATTTTCTACAGAGGTAATCATTACCATGTACAAACAAACATGGCATTATTTGCTGTTTCAAGTCTACATGTCTATTTCCTTCTCTAACCTTAGTAAGAAAGCATCTAATTCTTTTATAAATATCCTATTAGGTCTAATAATGACTTTATTCTTTTTTTTTTTTTTTGCCAGCACTAGGGCTTAAACTCAGGGCTTGAGCACTGTCCCTGAACTTCATTTGCTCCAAACTAGCACTCTACCACTTGAGCCACAGCACCACTTCTGGCTTTTTGTTGTTTATGTGGCACTGAGGAATCGAACCCAGGGCTTCATGCCTGCAAGTCAAGCACTTTTAACACTAGGCCACATTCCCAGCCCTGGCTTTATTCTTTTTAAAGTTCATTTTTGTCATTAAGAAATGAAAACTTAGCTAGGTGCTGGTGGATTATGCTTGTAATGCTAGTTACTCAGGAGGCTGAGATCTGAGGATCATGGTTCAAAGCCAGTCCAGATGGAAAAATCAATGAGACTCTTTTTTTTTTTTTTAAATGGTGGAAAAGAGTGTTTATTGTTACCTTTCAGTTTTTTTTTATTTTATTTGTGAACATACTGTACAGAGGGGTTACAATTGCATGGGCAGGATTTCAATGAGACTCTTATCTCCAATAAACTACTCAGAAAAAGCCAAAAGTTGTACTGTGGCTCCAGTAGCACAGCAGTAGGCTTG